ACTCTGGTAGATAAAGGAGGAAAAAATCAAATATTTTATGACCCAGTAAAGCTGTCTTTTGGGGACTCTGGTGTCTTTTAAAAGAATTAAACTGCTCTACAACCATCACCCACAAAGTTTTATCACATATCAAGAAACTCTGTGTCCTTATCTTTCTCACGCTGCCATTTCCCTTACTGCTTTCATAATTCCTTAGATAACACAAGGCCTTAGATGCTGGTCAATTGTCAGTTAGAAAATCTTTGAATCTGCCTACAACCTGCTAGCCCCTGCTTGGAAATATCCTGCCTTTCTGGACTGAACAAGTATAAATCTTACATATTTTGATTTATGGTTTCCTTTAACTTCTGTTCTCCTAAACTATATATAACCAAGGCACAATTCAGCCACGGTGGGCATACGTTCTTAGGACCTCCTGGGGATGGATGCCACAGTTCTAGGTCTTCAAGTTGGCCAGAATAAACCATCCTAAAATATTTTACAGAGTTTGGCATCTTTTCATCAATGGTATCTACCAGAGGCCCATTTTTAAATATTAGGAGTTTCCCTAAAGTCCTGCGGTATAGAACTGGGTTGTTGTTTTTCATCTTTATTCAATTCAGTTTTCAAAATTTATTTGACCACAGAGCCTTATGTTTTTCATGAAGCACTCTTTAATATCCCAGGGAACTATTTGTCTTATGGAGAGAGTGATTATGATATTGTGAAATATATATTTGGTCTTTATCCATGTTTCCTGGCATACAACTCCTAAAATCCTTGGAATCCTCAAAATGCTATCTTTTTCCATGCTAAAATCCCACATATTTGGTGGTCTTATGTGTTGACTGATAGCTTCAGAGTAGAGCTAGTCACCAGAAAGACCAAACATGATTAGAGGATTGGGACTCTCAGCCCCACCCCCAATGTCCTGGGAGGGGAGAAAGGGGCTGAAAGTTAAGTTGATCACCAATAACCAATGGTTTAATCAATCATGCCTAAATCAAAGTCTTCATAAAACCCAAGAGGACAGGTTTTGGTGAGTTTCTGGATAGTTGAACATGTGGAGGTTCCTGTAGGGTGGTATGTCCAGGGAAGATATGGAAGCTCCATCCCTTGTATCCCTTGTAATGTCCTTTATAATAAACCAATAAATGTAAATATCTCCCTGATTTCTGAGAGTCACTCCAGCAAATTAATCAAACCCAAAGAAGGAGTCATGGGAACCACAGCTTGAAATTGGTCAGTTAGAAATTCCAGAGGCCCAGACTTGTGATTGGTGTCTAAAATGGGGTGGGAAGCAGTCTTGTGGATTTAGCTGTCAACTTATGGGATCTGACACTATCTTCAGATAGATAGTATTGAAATTGAATTGGAGGATGCTAGTGTCCACTGCAAAGTTGTTTGCTTGTGTGCTGGTGAAAAGAAATCCCTACATATTTTGGGGTCACAGAGGTCTTATGTGTTGATTAGTATAGTATTAGGGCAGAGAAAAAACAGTCTGAGAATTTTTCCTAAACAATGACTATATATATTGACAAATTGGGACACCATTGAGAAGGAAAAGAGGTGCTGTGAATATTCATGCCGCGATAACAGGGTTCTCCTGAGTGAAACAGGAAGAATGGTCATCCTGTTCTGTGGGAAATGCTCCCTCCCTCTCTCCCCTTCTCTTTTCTTTTCTCTTCTTTTCCTTTCTTTCTTTCTCTCTCTCTCTCTCTCTCTCTCTCTCTCTCTCTTCTTTCAGGGTTTCACTCTGTCACAGGTTGGAGTGCAGTGGCACCATCACAGGTTGGAGTGCAGTGGCACCATCACAGCTTACTGGAGCCTCAAACTCCTGAGCTCAAGTGATCCCTCCATCTCAGCCTCCCAAGTAGCTGGGACTACAGGCACACACCATCACAACTGGCTAATTTTTCTATTTTTTTTGTAGAGACAGAGTCTCACTTTGTTTTCTCGGCTGGCCTTAAACTCCTGGCCTTAAGCTACCCTCCTGCTTCAGCCTCCTAAAGTGCTAGAATTACAGATATGAGCCACTATGCCTGGCCTATTTTCTTATTATTATAACTCAAAATGAGAAAAAGTCTTTATCCATATTACCAAGAGCTTATTTTAAAATTTCAGGCTAGGCGTGGTGGCCATGGCTCATGCTCATAATCCCAACACTTTGGGAGGCTGAGGCAGGATTATTGCTTGAGGCCAGGAGCTTGAGAACAGCCTGGGCAGCATAGCAAGATCCTGTCTCTACAAAAAATGTTAAAATATTGTAAATTAAAAAAAAATAAAGAAGCCGGGCTCGGTGGCTCAGCCTGTAATCCCACGCCTTTGGGAGGCTGAGGTGAGTGGATTGCCTGAGCCGGCGGGTTTGAGACCTGCCTGGACAGCGAGACCTCATCTCTACAATAAATCAAAAAATCAGCCGGGCATGGTAGCGCATGCCTGTAATTCCGGCTACTCAGATGGCTGAGGTGGAAGGATCACCGGAGCCCAGTAGGCGAGGCTGCGGTGGCCGGGAGCGGCCACTGCACTCAGTCTGGACGACCGAGTGAGACTCCAACTCAATAAATAAATAAATAAAGTTCAAAAATTTTTCAGTTGGGGAGGGATTGAGGAGAAATGTCAGTAGTAGAGTTATAAAGAAAAAATTCTGGAAAATATACATGTCAGAATTCAAACCAAGTTCCAGAACACTGAAGTCCAGATACTTTTGCAATATCCATGGGCTGTTACTGAAAAGCAGTGTTTTGTAGGAAAGGATGCTCAACCAACTTAAATATGTTGATTTTGCTATCAACTTCTGCCTCCCTCTGTGGGTCTTACACTCAAATTTTCCAGAAGACAAATTGACTAGTAAAAAATTGAGAAGAGGCTGATGTTTTTTAGCCAAGTTGCCACCCCAGGCCACTGGCATGACTGACACCCACCCCTGGCTTGATCAAAATAGTAGGTTCCTTGGCAGAGCACATGGCTACCACACATAAGAAGCTACTAACACAGAGGTTAAAGGCTTAAACTCTGTAATCAGACAGGCCTGAGTTCAAAATCTGTCTCTACCACCATTAGGTTTCAACCTTAAACTAGTTATTTAACCTATTTAAGTCTGTTTGCTCATCTGCCTAGTGGGGATAGTTATGTATCATGAGACTGATACAAGGATAAAACTAAATCATGTGTAGAACAAATGTTACATGGTGCTCAGCACTTACAAAGCCCTCAAAGAATGGGAACAATTACTTGGGGACCCTCATCAGGCTGTGGGCATGGGCAGCTTCCTATGAGAAATAGTCTAAGGCTGTAAGGAGAAAGATGTAAGGTTTCGGTGATTTTTAATCTGAACTCTTTACCTAATATATATACTTATCAGAATACAAGAATATGCTCAGTTTGTATGTTTGTTTGAAAGACTATAGTTTGAGATACTCAACTCTATCTACAAAGGAAATCCAAGGCAAGCTATCTGAATAGTAGTGATTTTGTTAACCTTCTTCCCTGTGTCTGACAGATAGTGTAATGAATGGACAGAAGACCCCTCAGGAGCCCAGAGCTCTACTAGCCTCCACCATTCTCCACCACTTATCAGCTGGGTAAACTTGGACAATTACTTAACCTCTCTGAGCCTTAGTCTCTTTACTTCTAAAGTAAGGAAAATGAATACTACTGACATCACAGAGTGCTTGCGAGTTTTAAATATAATTCAGTTTGGGTTTTTTGGCTAGAGTCTGACATATCATATGTCCTCAATAAATATTGTTTGTCTTCTTCTGCTCGTCAAACTCCTTTTAGATCTGTGTTTCAAACAAGGATATTGGACCTGATGTCCAACATTAAAATCTCTCCCATCCTTAATGTCACATAAAAATGTTCAGACTGTGGTTGGAGCAATGATTTTTCTTAGACTTCTACACTAATGACTTCTTGTTTCTCTTGTCACCTCATTCTTCCCCTTTTCTTTCAGTTTTCCTTTCTATTAACGTGAATGGAAATCACTTCTACTAACCTGCCTCCTCTCCATTCCAACCTCCCATCAGACTATTCCATCCAACTCACTGTCTTAGCTACATCTAATTTATAAAAGATGGTTAATGAGGTATCATAGCCTAAAACTAAAAACTCTATTTTCTTTCTTGTATTATTCTACCCAGACAACCCTTCGCTTTCTCCATTTGTAATGTTGAGCCATGGCTCCTGACTAGATGCCATTAGCTAAATCCTGTGATGCAGAGGTATTTCTGGCTAATATGATGAGAACTAGGGCAGAGAGTGAAGGATGGCCAGCCAGAGCTAGAGCCAAGGAACGGAGTCAGTCACAGGTTCTTCCCCAAGTGTGGTTGCTCTTCTCTCCTGTGCCCATCGTAGATCCTGTTAATTGAACGCATTTTGTCCTATTGTATCCAACTTCAGAGAGCTTTGCATTACACAACTTATTAACGGAAGCTGGGCTGAGAACAGGGTGGAACTTAGGGTTGGTCATTCATTAACTAACACATATTTTTCGAGCATGGTTTTTAAAGTCCTGGATTAGGAAGTAGGGAGTATCAAAAGATGGGAGATTAGGCCCAGCAACATTTAAAAAATGGAGCTCGATTTTTTGATTTAGCTCAATATATCAAAGATATTCTTTCAGCACGTAATCAATACACAAATATTAATAAGGTATTTTACATTCTTTCTTCGGACTAAGGTTTTGGAATCTCGGTGTATTTTACCTGCAAAGCATATACACAATTTCACTCGGACTAGCCACATGTCAAGTGCCCTATGACCACACATGGACAGCGCTGCTTTCGAGGTCCCTGACACGATTTGTAGCACACACGCCTCCAGGTGGCAAGGGTTAATTCACCTAGGCCGGCTTTGGAGAGGGAGGAGCGCGGGCGGGGCGGGGAGTTGTTAACCCCTGCGCTACGGAGCATCCCGGGAATCTTAGTCGCGCCCATCTGTCCGTGGGGTCCGATGGGAATTGTAGGCCTCGTCCCCGCGGAGCATGCAGGGAGTTGTGGTCCGTGTCCGCCTGCGGCCGGGTGTGCGCGTCATGGCTGCCGGCACCGCGCTCCGGTACTCTTCCGCTTGACCCCAGAAAGTTTCGGTTCTGCCCGGCCGTGGACCCACGAGCGCGTAAGTGCCGCAGGAGACCGGCCGGACTCTGGGGGCACCCGGGCCGCCCTCGACCCCGGAGCCGAGCGCTTCCGCTCCGGGCGCGGCTTGTCACCTGTTGCCCTCCCCGTCCCCGCCCATCCTGGGTCTCACGCAGACCCTGCCCGAGCCCCCGCCCTTGTCCAACGGTCCTTGGAAGCCCCTCGGCCAGGGGGAGCTGGCCCCGGAACCCAGCTGGCCTCTGTTGGTCGGTTAGAATGACAGACCCCAAACACCAGTTCCAAAACCTGGTACGGCCGAGGGGCCGCAAAGGAGCCCACCATATGAGGTTTCAGACCAAGCCCGGGTCCTTTCGCACAGGAGGGGGCAGGCTCCCGAATTCCTGCGGGCGTCGTCCTCGGGAAGCCTAATTTCTGGCTCGGCTGGGCGGGGACAGCCTAGACCTTCACTTTGCGAGACTCCGCCCGGGTCTTTCCCCTCCTCCCAGAAGGGGACAGTTTGTTCTTCCCAGCCCACCCTCAGGCCAAGACTCCTTCACTCCTCTCAGTCTGCCCTTTGTGCCCTTGTGCAGGGTCTTGCGGTAGCCCCCAGATGATCTTTTCTGGAGACACCTGGTTGTCTTTGGTGTGGCTACACTGCGCTGGGTTCAAGTTCATGCTATTGAAACCTAGGTGGGGTGTGTACGGGGGGAGGGTGGAATTTTATTTTGTATGAGAAAGCACATATGTTTGACACGTTAACCACATGTGTTTCCCTGCTAATGGACGTATCGTCTGATGCCCCTGTCACTCTTCACCGTTTCCACTGCCTGTCCCCTCCAGAAAAAAATCGATCACTTGTTAAAACTCCTTGTGTTGGCCAGAGCCTCTCTGCCCCTCTGCTTGTCTTACCACAGCAGTTTCCTTTCCCGACTGAGAAATGGGTCAGGGGCTTTTAGGGGGCAGAGGATCAGGGCTTAATCTGCTCACTGGCCCTGCAGGCCTTGTGGTCTCCTGCAGCAAGCTTAATTCCCCTGCCATCTGCCTAATGCGGCTGGAGGTGGAGGGGCAGGGGTGGTGGCTGAAGCTCTCATAGTAGGGTTTTCTGTTTTCAGCGGCTCCCACCTTCTGAAAGTGGGCCCTGTCGAGTGTACTCTGCTCGACTCTCCCTTCGGTAACAACCCTTGTTCTTAAAATATTGAATACCCCATACTAGTTGTGTACCATGGTTATGATCACCCTGGAAGTCAGTTAATTGTCACAGTGGTGGATCTCAGCCTCGGCTAATTAAAAGAATCTGAAAAGGCTCTTTAGGAAATAGAGTTTATCTGTTGATGTTTAAAGTGTCCATCTTTGTGTAGCACTTCATTTATTTTTAAGTTGTTTCTGGTGTTTTATTAGGAAAATAAACACAAGAGTTGTTGAAAGAATTGTATAGTGAATATCTGTATACTCAATTTTTAATATTTCACTTTATTTTTGCATTTGCTTTAGAGGTTGGTAACAGTCTCAGGTAATGACCCTCTAGCTGCTCTTTGGATGACCTTTGCCTCTTGGGGCAGGGTTGGGTACACTAGCATGGGTTTAGGAGCCAAGTTTTTAGCCTGGTTCTTTTTGGTGGGTATGGCCCTCACTGGTGTTCATGATGAGAGGAGCCGCCCGCAACAGAGCAAGATCAGAACAGCTGGTGGATTTGACCCATGTTGGTCACCGGGGCTATGGGCTGCTGCCTGTGGAATACAGAGTGGGTGCTCAAGAAGTGGCACTCCCACTTCCCTGTAGGGGACAGGTTTGGCTGGTGAGTAACCTTTGTTTTCTGGAGATTCCAAAGGCACAATTTTGGTGAGTCAAGATCAGAATGTCTTTAAACGTAAGGTAGAGGAATATGCTGTCTAGCTGTGGTCTCATGGTGGAAACCACTGGTAGGAACTCAGAATTAGGAGCTAAGCTCACTGCAAGCAGCCTCAGGCAGCAGGTAAAGATCATTAGCTGGTGCCTATGCCCACAGAGGCAACCTGTCAGCAAAGGTGAGTCTATTGGGATCATGTCAGCATCTGCTTACCTAATGGCTGCTATGTCCTTGTCTTGCCCAAAAGATAAACAATATGTTTGTGATCTCAATACCAGTTTAAAAAAAAATCAACTCTTGACTGACATAAGAGCCTCTATTTGAACAGTTGAATAAGTCAGCAGGGTGGAAATTGGAATGTTTCTCTGGGTCTGCTTATGGAAATGGTGTCTACTTTCTTGCTATTTTTTGATACATCACTACAAATGGCTGAAGTATTTGTACTATTCCCCTATTAAAAGCCTCAGGAAAAATGGGCGCCAAGGCTCGAGAAGAAAAGGGAGGTAGAAACTCTGCTCAGATGGACCAGAGGAGTTTTCTTTTCCCCTCTTCTCCCACACTGGAGCCAGTCAGCCTGATGGCTTTAGTAGCCACCAGTAGTCCTTCCTGTTTGCGTGGGTCTCTGTGGCATTTGAAAGGCACCAAGGGCCTGTTTCTGGTTGGGCCAGATCCCATGTGCAGGGATGAGGATGTGCACGTCATTGTGGTTCTGAGGACATACTTAAGAAGAATCTGGGGTTTGGTTATAGTCTTATGACTATATGGTTCGGGGGCCCAAGGGCTGGTCTGGCCAACCAGGAGCGTGGGGTTCTGCTCCCTTGGCCTATGCCAGGAAACTGAGTTAGGGGCGCCCTTAGCATCCAGAAGATAAACTTGGACCAAAAAAGGCATTCTAAGAAAACTGTTAGCATGCAGGGGGCTAGGACAAGAGGAAGCTGGCTGTATGAGGTCCAGGATAGGGCTGGACAATTGAACCAGAAGTGATGGCTTAAAATGGAGTTGGGAGGAATTTCCTGAAGCGAAACCTATAGCCCCAGGTACTTTTTCCAAGGCACCCGCAGACTTGGTCAGAGTAGAGAGGGGACACTCAAAAGCCTGAGCCAATGTCCGCCATTGAGAACGTCTGTTCTTCCCCTTTCCCACCCCCTCCACATGAAGGAAGGTTACCTCCCAACATCGGGTCTGTAAAAAAAAAAAAACAGAGTATGAAGAGGTCAAATGACTTTTCCAGGACAGGTAGATTGACCGAAAATAGTTTGGTGAGCAAAATGTATATCTCTTGAATCACGCCCAACCAAGGCATGTTCTTCATCACTTTATTTGTTACACAATAGATAATGGAAAGTTCACATAACTAGTTTGATTCCAAAATCTGAGATTGACAATTCTTGGCCACCACTGACAAAAGAGAAGAAAACATCTTGCTGTTGCCAACTCCAACCTTAGAGCCATCCTGGGTCTCGCTTGCCCTTCCCCTGCCAGCTTGGCCCCACCCTTTGCCCCCTCTGTACCAGGTTGTGTGCTGCTCTTGTCATGCTTCTCACGCACACCCATCAACACCTCCCCACCTCATTTTGCCAGGTTGATGGTGCCAGACTCACACTTCCAGAAGTGGAGAGGGAAGGGAGGTGTTTTAGTCTGCTAGAACTGCTACAGGCTAAGTGGCTTCAGAAATGTATTTTCTCACAGTTCTTGAGGCCGGAAGTCCAAGATCAAGCCACTGGCAGGTTTGGCTTCTGAGGTCTTTCTCCTTGGCTCACAGACAGCTGCCTTCTCGCTGTGTCCTCACATGGCCTTTTCTTTGTGCTCACATTCCTGCTCTCTTTTGTGTCCAGAGTTCCTCTTAACAAGTTCACCGGTTAGATTGGATCAGGGCCCAATCCCATGGCCTCGTTTAATCTTAATTACCTCTTTAAAGGCCATGTCTTCAAGTGCAGTGACATTCTGAGGCATGGGGGTTAGGGCTTCAACATAGGAATTGTGGGGACTGTGAGGGGTCACAATTCAGCAGGAGAGTTGGGCTGGTGGGGGTGGTTGCAGTGTTATCATTGTCCAGAATGGGATGAAGGAGGCTTGTGGATAAGGCTTCCTCAGGGATCGAGCTGTGGTGCACACTTCCTCCTGTCTAAGCCAAAACCAGAAAGACCGGAGCAGTTGGCCAGAGGAAGGTGTGAGTCAGGCAGTGCACAGTCTTGGCATTGGAAGCAGAGCAGCCAAACCCTGGAGGCAGTCCTTTAGTCACTGCAGGGCAAGTTCAGGGAGGCCAGAACACAGGTAGGAGGGAGGGAGGGAAGGAGGTGGGACAAGAGGCTGGGCCTATCTGTGTGGAGGTCAGACAGCTCAACAAAAAAGGGCCTTACAAGCTGGGGTAAGACATGGCTGACAGCAATCACCTGAGCTCATCAGGATGTCAGGGGGTCTGTTTACAGAGACCAGGTAGGGAAGGGTAGAGTAGACATGTTTTGCCCATCCCTGAATTATCTGTGAATTATATTATTCCATTTACTCTTGGAATAACAGATCATAGTATTTTCAAAATAATGACAATATAATGTCCACAATTACAATGTGAATTTTTTTACTGCATTATTTTAGTCAACATGAAAATAACTTACATTCAAAGGAAATTTTAAAAATCAGAGAAATATAATTTTTTTTAAAATGTACCATTTTCCCGCTACTGAAAGATTATTATTATTTACATTTTGGTACATTTCTGTGTCTCAAGGTTTAGTTTGGTTTGTGGTACAAGGGTCTATGTGTTTTGTTTTGTCCAATTCATTCATTTATTCAGCAAGTAATTTATCAAGGTCTCGCCATGCTCCAGAACTGTGCTAGGTGCTGGAGAAAGAATGAACAACAACAGAATTTACAGACAAGTGGGAAGAACAGAGATTAAATAAAAAATTGCCATGGTGGCAAATGGCACCAAAAGCCATAGAAGAATAACATGAGATGCCACGGTGGAGCTTAGAACCATGAACAGAGTACAGTTTGGGGCCTCATGTGTTCATTCGTTTTCATCAAAGCACTTATCAGGCCTCAAGGGATTTTTCTTACGTGTTTGTAAGCTTCCTAGGATGTTTGTTGTCTGTCTCTCACTGATCAGTGGTGGTTGACTTCGCCCATCACAACTGTAGTCCCAGCTCTCGGCTCAGCCTGCCTCTTCAAAAAATACCTCTTGCCTGCCTGGC